CCCTCGGCCAGCGCCTTTGGGATCGGCACGCCGGCCCTGAGCAGTGGCTCTCCTGCCGTGGCCTTCAACTTTGGGGCCGGGCAGAGCGTGGCAGCCCCGGCGGTGACGCCGTTCGGCTCTTCCCTGACGCAGAGCACACTGGGTGCACAGAACCAGAGCACACCCTTCGCCTTCACCGTGCCCAGCACGCCCAACAACAAGCCCGTGTTTGGAGGTGAACCGGAGCAGAGGGGCCTTCCCGGGGGGTGAGGGCAGGGCTGCCCTTAGGCCGCAGCTTCCCTGCCAGACCTTGCTGAGCTCCATGGGCTCAGCAGCCCTCCAGGGTCTGGTGCTGATGCTGTGTGAGGGGAAGGCACTTCTGTCACCCACTGTCTGGGTGCCCAGCCCTCAGAAGTGTAGGGGAATCCTTAAATCCTTCTCCTCGACCCCTCTGAATGCACCAGCTCCCCAGCTCTGCGCCTGTGCTGAGCCCAGCCAGGTGCCCTCCAGAAGCCAAGGTCTTGGGAGTGCTTAAAAACAACCTGGAGCTTCTTGATGAGTAGAAATGCTGCCAGCCAGCGATTGCCATCACTTGCTCCCTCTTTGAGGTTTTCCCTGCCACTTTGCACCCTTGCTGGGCCTCTCCCCTCCCACAGGGCTGAAACCCACGTGCAGAGCAACCCCTTGATCCAGAAAGAGGCCTTTGTGACACCTTGGCTTGCAAATCCTCCCGTGCTGCCCTGCTGGCAGGAGAGCCCAAGGGTTACCATGAGAGAGCAGCTGCTTGCGTTAAAAGGACTCCTTGGGTGAAGAGGCTGCTTCTAGGGACTGTGGTGCTTTACCCCCCGCAGGGAGATCTGTGTCCTCGGCGGGTGCTGAGGCTTTTCCTTCTCTGCCGACCCTGGCTCACGGTGGTGCGTTGTCTTTCTAGGATCTCCCGCACCCACCTTCGGGCAGAGCACACCCGTGCCGGGCACAGTGGGGAGCGGCAGTGGCAGCCTTTCCTTCGGGACACCCAGCACTCCTGCTTCGAGCTTCGGAGGAGTTGGCGCTTCCTTTGGTAAGAAGGGAGCCTGTGCTTCAGCCTTGGGGAGCTGATGGGTCATGTTGTCCCCTCAGGCTGGGGACAGCAGAAAGGCTATGGCTCAGGAGGTGGCTTGGGTGGTGCCTTCTGGGCTCGGGGAATGGATGGTTTTCCCTCCCCAGGACGGGGATTTTGCTACCCTCCCTTCTCCGTGTCAGCTCTGAGGCTGCAGAGGCCTGAGCAACCTTTCTGCTTCCAGGTTCCTCCACCCCTGCCTTTTCCATCGGGGCAGGATCCAAGACGGGCGCTCGCCAGCGACTGCAGGCACGGAGGCAGCACACCCGCAAAAAGTAACCCCCGGCACCGGCCCGCGCGAGGAGCCCCTGCAGGGAGGTCTGGTCTGGAGTGGCCCCCGTGGCAGGGCCAGGGCCCCCTCTCTGACACCAGCCAGGGACCGTGCTGGGTGGCAGCGACCGGGGTGGGACAGGATAAACCAAACTCTTCTTACTTGAACAGTTCCACAGCCAAGGCTGGACGAACCTCTGTACATATCTGCAGCATTTCCTCCCTTTATTTTGCCATGTTTCATAATGTGTACATTTTGCCCCATTTGCTTCTTTTAGCTGTTGCCGTGCCCTCCTCCTCAGCCCCAAACGGCCACCCCTTGCCCCGTGGCGTGGTAGCCACCAGAGCCACGTGTCCCTGCTCAGAGCCATGCTGGGTTCCTGCCGGCCGCGGTTCCAGGCTGCCGAGGGATGCCGTCTTCACCAGGTCCTGAAATCTTTCCCCGTTGTTTCACCCCGTGGCCTGGTGAACGCGCTCCCTCCCGAGGGCTCTGCTCCATGGCTGGGTTCATGCCAGCCTGGCGCAGGTGTCTTGGTGCTGTGGGTGACCGACCCTGCTCCTGCAGCTGGGTGATGCCCCCTCACTGTGATTTAATCTCCCATCAGAGCTCAGCTGGGGCTGCACCATAGCCTGGGACCTCGGCGGGGGGCGCAGGGTGGGATGGGGGTCCCTGCACCCCACCCTGGCCCTAGTGGCTCCCTGCTGGGCTGAGGGCTCCTCTCGCCTTGCTGCTCATGTGAAGCTCCCTCTGTTTTGCTTTATTTGTGCTCCCGTTCCAATGCGCTCATTGAATCGAGTTTGGAGGAAGAACTGAATGGTGTGCGTGGCGGCATGTTGGTTATGCCGGATTTGCTGTTTGGAACTTCTTTTTTGGGGGGTGCGCCCATCCCTCTGCGGGGGACGCGCCCCGGCTAATTGGATGTTGACAGTAGCATCACTGCGTGGCTGCTCGCGCTGGGGGAGTTGTCCCTTCGTCATTAGGGCTGAAAAGCAGGCAGCTGGGGTGGGGAACGGCCTGGACCCTCAGGCAGGGGGGCTGTAGCCTGGCAGTCTCTGCCCTCCCTTCCCTTTCTCCTGGGGTGCTCTGGAGCTGCTTCTGGAAGGAGTCCAGAGCGGGTGGCCTTCCCCCCTCTCCCCAGATTCAAATTGGTTTTCCTTTGTAGCTCGCCCCCCCACCTTGGGGTTTTACCAGCTCCTAGAAGCTGCACTCCCCCTTCCCATCCAGTCAGGAGCGAGGCCTGGGAGCTCCTCTGGGGAGAGGCTGCCAGAGCCG